TCAGTGGGGTTTGAACCCTAATAATAAAAACATCAGTGGGGTTTGAATCCTAATAATAAAATCATCAGTGGGGTTTGAACCCTAATAATAAAAACATCAGTGGGGTTTGAAACCTAATAATATAACATCAGTGGGGTTTGAAACCTAATAATAATAAAAACATCATTGGGTTTTGAACCCTAATAATAAAAACATCATTGGGATTTGAACCCTAATAATAATAATAAAGACATCATTGGGATTTGAACCCTTACCCACCTGGCAGTACTCAGGCCTCGCTGGCGCTGCTGTTCCTATTGAGCTCACGGATTCCCTGAAGGATTCTCTTCATGTGACCCACCTTCGTCACCCCGAGGTCCTGAACACAGACACACCTGAATCTGTCTTACTCGTCTGGTTGGTTTTGCTCTTATTGTAAATACACAGAAATAGAAATACAGCTAAAAAGGACGGAGATAAACATTTATCTATCAGATAAAGTCTTCTGTAAATTAACTAATGTAACATGTTGCTTTACACACAGCGTTTATACAGCAGCTTAGATCAATAACGACATGAACATGTTAAACAATAAATATCATAAATAGTTTAACAACAGAAGGTAACAACACAGAAGGCAATGTCCGTCCTCCATGACTCAGCACAGTTAGCGGTTAGCGGCTAGCAGCAGTACCTTCAGGTCCCTCCTCTCCAGGTGGATGAGTTCGGCCCCGCGGACGTCGTGTCCCATGAAGATGTCCTGATACTCAGTGAGACACAGAAAGTCCAGCCACGCCCCCACCTCCTCCGTCCCCCACTGGTGAACTGAGACACAGACAGGAAGTGGTTCAAACAGACAGGAAGTGGTTCACGCAGAGATGAAGTGGTTCATGCAGACAGGAAGTGGTTCACACAGACAGGAAGTGGTTCACGCAGACAGGAAGTGGTTCAGGCAGACAGGAAGTGGTTCACACAAACAGGAAACAACCCAAGAAGTGTCAGAGAATAGCAAACCTGATTTCACTAGAATACAGATGTGTACCATCTAAAACCAACAGTCAGAGACAAAGACAGGTAGGGAGAGAGAGACAGGTAGAGAGAGCTTACCTGGTAGAGACAGAGGACTGCAGGTCTCCTTGTTCTTGTTGTTTTTGTCTTTTTTTAACTTGGGGACAAGACGAAACTTTGCGCTCCGGCTGCGTTTGGAGAAATCTGTCAGAGGATCCTGAAGACACACAGACAGGTTTGTAGAAGCAGACAGACAGACAGACCAGGACCAGGATAACCATCATGCAGGTCTAGTTGTGGTGGTTTACCTCGTGGTCTGACGGGTCGATCACCGGACTCAACCAGGAAACATCAGCCAGCTGATGGAGCTGCTGAGCCACCGAGCTCAGAGCTGCATTCAACTGGTCTTGCTGAGGAGGATCCAGCTGCTGCATACAAACAACAACCATGAGGACCAGGACAGATATGTCTTCAACATCTCAAAAGGTTTATCAGAGGGACACAGTTACCATGGACATGTTTCCAGCCAGCAGCAGTTCAGTCTCACTGAGTAAAGCTTTGACGTTAATGACCATCTGAAGGACCACGCTGCAGCACAGAGCCTGGAGACAGACAAGAGAGACAGACAGGTAAGAGAGAGACAGGTGGGAGAGAGAAAGGTGAGAGAGAGACAGACAGGAAAGGACAGAAGAGACCACTAGTCCTGCTCAGTACCCCAGAGTTGTTGGAGTTGGCGTAGACCACGTCCATGGCCTTTGAGCTGGCGTTGACAGCGTGAGCAAGTTCCTGTTCCAGACTGTGGTGAGACTGAGCAACTTCACGAATACTGAAACACAAAATGATAGAATACTATAATAATAATAAACTAGAAAATTCCTAAACAAATTTTGACAGTGTGGCTTCTACTGCCCGAAGAAATCGCAATATATACACACGCCAATGTTACCGGTAGTGTCATTCAGGTTCAATTGAGATAGCGCTACTCTCTTTTCTGCATTTTAGATTCATACTCTTGGATTGAATCTAGTATTTGTGGGGCTTTTATTTTGAAAGGGTGGGACTGGGTGGGTGAGAGAGGAGACAGAATCATAATGTTTGACACTAAAATGTGAGGCTTCATCACAAGCATTCCAGTTAGAATTCATTCTGTGGGGCTTTTAATTTGAAATGGGGTGGGGGGTGAGAGGGGAAAAGTCCTCTAAAAATATCTAAGACCTGAATGACTGTATGATAGAGAGAGACAGAGAGGGAGAGAGAGACAGACAGAAAGATAGACAGAGAGGAGAGAGAGACAGAGTGAGTGAGACAGGCAGACAGGAGGTCTAATGATCTTTCCTTGAATATCATGTGTGTATGTGTGTAGAGAGAGATAGAGAGAGACAGACAGACAGACAGACAGACAGGAGGTCTAACAATGCCTTTGACTGAATATCTCCATGTCATGTGTGTGTGTAGAGACAGAGAGAGCGTGCCTGCGTGCGTGTGTGTAACTAGTTGCCATGGTGAGGACGCACCTGGTGTTAGAGGCAGACTGATTAAGAAACGTTACAGTAAACAGTGATTTTGAACAAAACCCCTAACTCCTTTTAACAAATTAGCAGGAGTCTGAGTGCCAAAATATGGATACCGTGAGAAAGATAAGACTCTGGCAAACACGATAATGTGGTTTTTATGTTTGTGGTGTTAATAATGTGAGCTCCAGAGCAATAGACAAAACTGGTACCGTCTGCGTTCTTTGAGAAATGAGTGGTGAGATTTAACATGGAGTCTAATGGAGCAGTTGGTTGGAGTTCATGTCGCTCTGCGGCTCTTTGAGCCAAATGTGTAAGTCCGTTGGATTCCATAGACACTTTACTGCGACCAGCACAACATTTCCAAGCTTTTGGGCCATAAATGGTGTATAAAGAGTAAAAATTGTGGGAGCTGGAGCAATCTGTTTGGAAAAATCACAGAATATTTTCCTGCTCCGCTCCACTCTGACAGTTATGCTCTCACTCTAGCTCTTAACGAGCCGTGCAATACACACCCATTATAAAATCTGAAACAGACCCAAAATTTTCCTGAAACTTAATTTGTGACTTCATGAAAACTGTGCTAGCTATCAAAATGTCCATTTGGCTCAATAAAGTGCAGCGTTTTGTCTACGTTTTAAACTTCGTATCATGTTTCTACGTTAAAGTATGGCCAGTCAATATGGGCCCAAAGTTAAGTTTTTTTTTAGCTCTCTTCACGCCGAAACCCCATTCAAGTGAATGGAGAAATTTTGCTCTGTTTTTTGGGATTTCCGGGAAAACCGCTGGGCGAATCTCTCCGAAAAATAGATAGCACACTATTCCCGATCAGGCCGCACGTTTTGATGTATTTGTCACGCCGCTGTTGGCAATGCTGTGTGAGCAGAAGCGCGCCAAACTTTTGGATAAAGATTATTATTATTATTAAGCCCGCAGGATTACAATCAGTGTGCTTTGGCACAGACAGTTTTACTGCCTTTGTGCCACAAAGCCACACTGAATAATATATTATCAGGGTGATTAAAATATGAGGCTGTTGTTTCATTAACAACATGAATGATTAGTAACACAGATATAAAACAAGGTGATGAGAGAAACTGTCTAGAACCAAAAACAAGAGTCTACTAGAGTTCAGATTATTACAGCTCAATCATCAACATTATCTCATAACTGTGCATTTATATTATATTAAAGTGGCCTAAATTTATTATGTAAAAACAGTATTATGAATGTCTAATATACTTCTTTATTCAATATCTTTGATGTAGAATTCAGAAATAGATTCAGTACTATAGTCTCTGCTCACCTACTGTAATATATTAATATTAATTCTCCGGTCTCCCTGGTCTCTTTAATCTATCTGGTCTCTCTAAACCAGAGGTAGCCAACACGGTGCCCGCGGGCACCTGGTCGCCCGCAGGGACCACGTGAGTCGCCCGCAAGGCATGTTCTAAAAATAGTATTAGTCACCATAGAGCTCTGTCTAAAAACCGCACCAGGTTTTCAGGTTCCGAATGGCGGGCGCTTCCCGTTGGCGCCGGATGCGCGCCGCAAGCGCACCACGTCATCAGGTCTGTCAGTCCTCGGAACAGTCCACGGGGCAACAACTCTTGGGTGGCGGGGGTAAAGGCGAGGCAACGCAATCCAACCGAAAAGGCCCAGACTAGAGGTTTGAACGTGGGCGCCCGAAGATACTCGCGCACCTCGGAGGGTTGGATCCCCCCCCTCGGCTATAGACGAGACTGTTTACTAGTTTCTTCGTGGAGAAAAAGGTACCATTAGAAATGGTGTCGGTGACAACAAACGGGGCTCCCGCCATGACGGGCCGGCATGCAGGCTTCATTGCGCAATGTAAAGGTGACCCAGACTTCCCAAAATGTCTACATTACCACTGCATCATTCACCAGCAGGCGCTATGTGCAAAAAGTAACCGGCTTTGATCATGTGATGACTCCTGTCGTGAAGATCATAAATGGCATCCGCTCCAAAGCCAAACAACACAGGATATTCATAACTGATGATTTGTATAAATATGGGACAGAGTTGATTTGTTGATCATGATTTGTTCAAAAATGTTACAAAAGTGGTTAGTACAAATGAGACATGATGTGAAGATATGACAGTTAATAATTTCATAAAAAATGTTAGAATGTTAGAAGTGATATAACAAAAAATATAACAGGTGTGATTTTGAACCAAATGCTACAAATGTGACAATACAAATATTCATACAAAACTGTCAAGAAAGATATTTACTAAAATATCAGAGATGTGATACCTATGACTTTCAAATGTTGAAACAGAATAACAGAAATAAATGTTTAAATATATCTGTGTTTCCTACCATCATTGTTGTGGAAATCATTGTTGATAATTATTGTGAGGAATAATTAACATTGTCATGTGATCAGACAGTCTCTTCACTCATATTAATATTAAAAGGTGATCTGTGCAACTTTGTTATTCAGGAAGTTTGTATCAAACAAGTAGCCCTTCGTACTACTCGGTACCCTTGAAGTAGCTCTCAGTTTCAAAAAGGTTGGTGACCCCTGCTCTAAACTCTCTGGTCTCTCTGGTCTCCCTGGTCTCCCTGGTCTCTCTGAGGTCTCTGGTCTCTCTGATCTCTCTAATCTCTCTGGTCTCCCTGATCTCTCTAATCTCTCTGGTCTCCCTGATCTCTATAATCTCTCTGGTCTCCGTGGTCTCCCTGGTCGCTCTAATCTCTCTGCTCTCTCTGGTCTCTCTACGATCTCTGGTCTTCCTGGTCTCTCGGTCTCTCTAATCTCTCTGGTCCCCTTGGTCTCTATAATCTCCCTGGTCTCTCCAATCGCTCTGGTCTCCGTGGTCTCTTTAATCTCTCTGTCTCTCTAAACTCTCTTTTCTCTCTGGTCTCCCTGGTCTCTCTGAGGTCTCTGGTCTCTCTGATCTCTCTAATCTCTCTGGTCTCCCTAGTATTTCTAATCTATCTGGTCTCTTTGGTCTTTAATCCACCAGCTGCTGCCCATGAGAGGCGATTGTAAACATGACCAGGTAAGATGATGTAATGAGTAAAACCCTCACCTGTGTATCAGAGCTCCTGCTGCCTGACCGAACTCACTGATGAGCGACGCCTCATCTTCAGAGACAATTTCTGGCTGGGAGGAGAGGGGGGGCTGAGGGTGCTGAGGAGGGGGGGTCCGGAGAAACTCACACTTCTGTTTGTCCTCCCAGGACTTAAGGGTGCTCTCAAACGCCTGAAACACACACACACACTAATGGTGAGGGTCTGAGCTAGTGCCCTGTCTCTGGTGAGGGTCTGGGGTAGTGCCCTGTCTCTGGTGATGGTCTGGGGTAGTACCCTGTTTGTGAGGGTCTGGGGTAGTGCCCTGTCTCTGAGGGTCTAGGGTAGTGCCCTGTCTCTCTGGTATTGTTCTGGTCTAGTACTTACCCTGTTTCTGGTGAGGGTCTGGTCTAGTAGTCACCCCGTCTCTGGTATTGTTCTGGTCTATTATTCACCCTGTCTCTGGCGAGGGTCTGGTCTAGTACTCACCCTGTCTCTGGTGAGGGTCTGGTCT